AAGTCCTCAGTTCTCCAAAATACAAAACTGTTTAAGCTCTGACATGATGCCACAAATCCTATGGCTTACTGTACACAAACTTTAGTTTCATGGGCAAAATTACTAAAAATACTTGTATAGGACTAGGGACGTTGCTCAGTGTTAGAGTACTTGCCTAACATGACCAAGGCCCTGGGTTTGATCCCTAGTACTGAAAAAAGAATTTGTATAGATTTACCTGTAGGCAGCCAGATATATACAAGGTATCACTTAAATGCATTCTGTGCTTAGTTTTGGGTCCCATCCCAAGATATGCAGATATTCCAAAATCTGATAAAATGTGAAATCCCAAGCCTAAGTACTTGATAAGGGATACTTAATCTGTAAATCTACTTTGGGAGTGAAAGGGGAGTGATTAGGTTTGATAATGATACTGGATCAGTAGGTGGAATCAGGATTGCTCAGGGTAAAATGAAAAATATAGACATTGTCACTTTTTTCCTGTATTAGAGATGGAACCCAGGAATGCTCTGCCACTGAGCTATATCCCCAACCTTTTTATTCCTAATCTTTACTTTTAACATGGGGTCTCTCTTAGTTAGCCAGGCTGGCATTGAACTTGCAGTCCTCCTGCCTCAGCTTCCCAAGGAACTGAGATTACAGGTGTGGGCCACTATGTCCAGCAGTCACTGTCACTTTTATTTACATATATATATTTTTTTGTTTGTTTGTTTGTTTGCTTTTTGAAACAAGGTCTCACTATGCAGTTCAGGCTGGCCTTGAGCTGACTTTGTAGCGCAGGCTGGCCTCAAACTCCCAAATACCCTCCTGCCTCAGCCTCCCGAGTGCTGGGATTAACAGGTGTGCGCCTCCACACTAGGCTGACACTGTCATTTTAATTTTTTTTGTTTGTTCGTTTGTTTTTGTCATTTTAAAATACCTTAAATTCCTTCCATTCTCAGCACACCACTTCCTCTTCAAAGAGGCAAAGAATGACCAAAGATAACAAAAGCAAACTTTGCCACACCCACACCAAATCCAGGAGGGCCTGGGTGTGCACAAAGTATATGGTATCACAGAAAGTGTGCAAGAAGACACACCCGCCGCCGCCCCTGCACCACCCTAGGTGGCTAAAACTTTTTGAAAGAATCGTGCGCATTCACTACACACATCCGCTGCACGTCTCCACCAGCTAGGACCCTGCGCCGGTGTCTCGCCACCTCCTCTCTGCCAAGCGCAGTGGACACTGGGCTCGTGCGTCCTGCACATGACCTCAGAGAGCACGAAGCTTGCATCCTGGTGTTGGTAAAGGTGCGGTCTCAGGCCTGGGGCTCTGGAGCAAAGGGCAGGAAAGCAAGGAGCTCCAGTCTGCAGCCCGCAGGCACCAGGTAGGAGCACAGCCTCTGCGGTCACTGGGTGACTCGAACAAGCTTGTCTCCCCGTCAGTGGGGTGACAGCACTGGGCAGACGGGTGTGAGGAGTCAGTGGGACGCAGCGGGCAAACGTCAGTAGGGACCGCACTGGAGAGTGGCAGCCGCCCAGCCTTGGAGCAGCGGCAGTGCGTAGGGGGCTCTGAGTGAAGGCAGCCAGTGGTGAGGCCGGCAGCAGCTGGACACAGAGGTGGGGCCGTGGCCGCCCTGGTCTCTGTGCGAGCGGGGAGGGAGCAAGCGCAGCAGGCCGGCAGGGTGCAGGCAGCCTCCGTCAGCATGCGCCCCGGGGCTCTCCTTGGTGCTCCGTGCACCGGCGTTTGCTCGATGCTTGTCCCTCTGAGAGCCTGACTTGGAGACCCTGGGCTGTGGCCGTCCTCTCCTACTATCTGCCAGCGCTCGGTGCATGGTACATCCCCCAAATACGTGCCCACTGTCCCCAGCAAGGCATTTTGTGGGGCCTCAGTAACAGTCCAGGAAAAGAGAAAGCCTGAGGGATCTTCAGCCACCCCCTGCCCCACAAGCTGGCACTCAGGTACCCAGTCAGCAGCTGGCTTCCCGTGCCAGCTCTGACAGTAGCCAGCATCCCTGTGCGTCCTCCTCAGTCCCAGGCTCCCCGCAGGACTTGGAGAGGACGGCCGGACACTGCCAGCTGCTTCGTGCCCTTTGGAGTCAGGAGGGCAGGTTGGGGGAGCAAGGTCTTGAGGACACAGCTACCGGCCCCCCTGTGTGCATCAGGGTTGCCTGAGCTGCGGGCTGGGCAGGCAGTTGGGGAAACTGAGGCCCGCCCTGTCCTGGGTGAGGCTGTGCTTAGTCGGCTTCCCTTAGGGCAAATGCTTCTGCACCGCCAGGGACAGTCTGAAGGGAGGGACGCATGGAACGTGCTGACTGGGTGGGCCCTGGTTTGTGATGGTTTATGTCAGGCGTGTCCCCTGGGTCTGCGAGCTCAGGCCCAGTGGGTTTGCGGGGCGCCAGCGATGCTCCTGAGGAGAAGAGCAGAGCTAGGCTGGGTCCACGCGGTGCAGACCTAACGTCTCAGTGTGGCTGAGGCGGGAGGTTCAGGAGTGTGGTCAGCTGTCCTTGGCCTGGTCCGAGAGAGGGGGACCGGGCAGAGCCCAAAGACGCCTTCATGCTCACTCCTCTGGACAGGATCTTCTTTGGAGACACCCTGGTGGCTGGAAGGTGGTGGGTGGTATTACCCAGAGAGGCATAGAAAGGCCCCCGAAAGTCCTTCAGCTGGAGAAGCTTCTACTGATGCAAGGGAGGTTGGGCTGGGAGGCTGAGGCAGGAGGATCCTTGTAGTTTGCAACCAGCCTGGGCTACAAAGTGAGCTCAAAACCAGCCTAAACTGCATAGTGACCCTGTCTCAAAAAGACCAAAAAAAAAGACAAGGAAGGTTGCGGGGCTGGCAGGGGAGGGTCTCAGAGGATGGGGATATTCTGCGCAGAACACCCTTCCACATTCCAGGGGGCTGTAAACTCAGAGAAGGAGCCCTAGGTGGCCTTTTAGCTTGGTGTCTGAGCCGGCTTCTGATCAGAACTCCATGGAGCCAGAGCTCTCCGTCTCTGGACGTTCAAGTGCAGCCCCTTGAGGGTGTGTTGACCCGGAGTCACACAGGGACCCTGGACGACAGGGGCCCCTCCACTAGGTGGTCACGCAGACACATTTGAGGGCTTGGTGTGTGGCCAAGGACTGTGCTGAGGGGTGGCTTTGTGGGAGTGGCGAGGCAGCCCCTTCCCCAGGGAGTGGCCAGTCTTTGCGGTTTGGGGCTGCCTGGCAAGGTGCCACCACCTCGGGGCAACGCCGAGACCCTCCCTCCTGCCCCTGAGTCTTTCCGTCCCCAGGGCTCTGCTGTGGACACGTCCACCCTCTGTGTTCTCCAAGATCTGTCCCCGTCCTTACGTGTGTCCCTAAGGTGTCAGTGTCACCCACTCCCCTCCCCTCAGAGGAGGCTCCCATAGTGGGCCACCTGTCACAGTCACACAGCCAGGGTGGATCAACAGACCAGATCCGGGCTTGTTCCCTCAGATCCCAGGCCTGGCGGGTAGGTGGGTCGCAGCTGGGCTCCTTGGAACACACCTTCATCTCCTGCTGTGAGGCCCACTGCCTCTCCCTGTCCAGGGAGGGAAGGTCCACACTCATCCTGGGAGCTGCTGGCCTTCCTGGTGAAGCAGGGAGTCTTCGAGGCTAAGAAGAAGCTTCAGGTTAAGGGCTGGGGGTGCAGCTCAGTGGCGCACTTGCCTAACATGCACTAGGCCCTGGATTTGATCCCTAGCGCTGAAAAACAAACACAAATTCAGGCAAAAAAAAAAAAAAAAAAAAAATTGGGGACTATTTTTGCACATACCTGTAGTTTCCAGCTACTCAGGAGGCTGAGGCAGGAGGATTGCTTGAGCCCAGGAATTTGAAGCCAGCCTGGGCAACGTAGCAACAACCTGTCTAGGAAAGCACCAGCCTGGGGCTGGGCAGGGCTGGGCTGGAAGGCTTCCTGGTGCTTTCTGATGGAGGCAAGGTCTCCTGGGGGGTGGGCCCTGCCTAGAGAATGAAAGGAAACGGAGAGGGGTCAGGGAGCCTCCTTCTGGATGTGTCCGCTCTTACCAAGTCTGGACTAGAGGCGAGATCCAGAGGGCAGCCGGTCTGGCTGGTGCCTCTGCCTCAGGCTGCCTCTCTTGCCCTGACTGATGCCTCGGCCCCCAGTTCCTTCCGGTTGTGGTGACCTCAAGGCACCAAAGGAAGTGTCAAGTTCGGCTTATCTCACGAAGGGCCACCGTCATGCAGGAAGGATCCGAGAGGTGGGTTATTATGTCATTGTACCAAGAATGCAGACCTGAGGCTGCGTGCACTGGGCAGTCACATTGTAGCCACTATGTACTATATTGTTGGGCAGGAAGGTTGGCCGATTTCCTTTCTATTTTCTCCCTGCTGGGGATTGAGCCCAGGGCCTTGGCACTGAATTATCTCCAGCCCTTTTTATTTTAAGACAGTCTCATTAAATTGTCTAGGTGGGATCAAACTTGTGATCCTCCTGTCTCAGCCTTCCAAAGTGCTGGTATTACAGGTGTGTCCCACCACGCCCAGTTTATGTTGGCCAATATTTAGGCTGAATAGTTGTGACATCCTCAAGCCAGCAGTTCACAGAGCTTGGGACATGTGATCTGAGGTTTATTGATCAAAATTTTCTTTTTCGGGGCATGGTGATGCATGCCTGTAATCCCAGCACCCGGGAGGCTGAGGCAGGAGGATCACTGCGAGTTCAAGGTCAGCCTGGGCTACAAAGTGAGCTTAAGGCTAGCCTGAACTGCATAGTGAGACCCTGTCTCAAAAAGACATAAAAGAGTTTCCTGTGTAGCTCAGGCTGGCCTTGAACTCCCAGCAATCCTCCTGCTTCAGTCTCCTGAGGGCAGGATTACAGGCGTGCACCACCCCGCCCAGCTAAGTTTGAGGGCCCAGAAGGTTCCGGGTGTTACCGCAGAAACTTACTCTGGGTTGTACCACTTGGCCTTCTCGGCCTCCAGTTCCTCTCACAAACGCCTTAGCTAGAGCCCCGCCCCTCAGTGCCCCGCCCCCACCACTGACTCTGCGCTGTGTCCACAGGCTGCTGAACAGGATGTCTGCGGATGATCGGCACCTGGGCTCCAGCTGCGGCTCCTTCATCAAGACCGAGCCGTCCAGCCCGTCTTCGGGCATTGATGCCCTCAGCCACCACAGCCCCAGCGGCTCGTCGGACTCCAGCGGCGGCTTTGGCCTGGCCCTGGGTGCCCACGCCAACGGGCTGGACTCACCGCCTATGTTCCCAGGCGCGGGGCTGGGAGGCACCCCGTGCCGCAAGAGCTACGAGGACTGCGGCAGCGGCATCATGGAGGACTCGGCCATCAAGTGCGAGTACATGCTCAACGCCATCCCCAAGCGCCTATGCCTCGTGTGCGGGGACATTGCCTCTGGCTACCACTACGGCGTGGCCTCCTGCGAGGCCTGTAAGGCCTTCTTCAAGAGAACCATCCAAGGTGCGGTGGGCAGCGCGCAGGCTGTGGTGTGGGTGGGGGCGCGTATCTTCCCAGCAAAGGTTCGGAGGGCCCCTTCCGATGCCTAAGGGCTCTTCCTGTCTGGGACTGTGATTTTTTTTTTTTTTTTTGGTACTGGGAATCGAACTCAGGGCCTTGTGCTTGCCAGGCAGGCGCTTGTGTCGCTGAGCTATATCCCCGGCCCTATGTCTTTTGGGACTCTGGGCAAGGATTCGTGGAGACTTGCACCCCAGAAACCCCAAAGAAAACCCACACAAATGCTGAACCATGGCGTACTGTCCAGCGTGTGCCTCCCTAAAAGCTTAATTTTCTGGAAAAAAATTTGCCTTGCCTTTCCAGACGTACTGGAATAGAAAGAGGTCCCTTGCTTTGCTTTTAGTTTTCTTTTCATTGCACAAGTGAGGCAGGACTCTTTTCTCATGGTAACAGACTCGGGCCTGAGCGGGGCAGGACCACATCCCCGGATCCCCCGTTGGGCCTATCTTTAGGGCTTTTGGGCTGTATCTGCATATCAGCTGACTGGCAGCTGACCGTGGGGGTGGCTGCCTCTTTGTAGGTGGAGTGAGTCATCCCGGTGAGTGTGGGGGGTCCCTCTGCACTCAAGCACAGGTGCTTTGTGGGGCTGCTGGGGGGCGCCCTCCTGGGGCGGTGCCTCTGGGCTCCTGAGAGAGAGCCTTGTGATTCTCATGGCCCCAGGCCAGAGGCTGAGCCCTTCCTTTCACTCTTTCAGCCCAGCTGCCTGCCAAGCACCTATTTAAGCACCAGGCTTTGTTCAGGGTGCCGGCGGCAGGACAGACGAATGTCCTAGCTCACGCAGGTAGTCGAGAGGATGACTGCCACAGACCCCACACAGCAGGATAAGGACACCCGGGCCGCAGCCCTGCCTCTCTCCTCCAGGGCTCTGCCTCTGCTCACCAGGGAGCCCCCCTTTTCACTTTTTAAGAGGCAGGCTGAGCTTCCCTGGGACGATTCTGTTTGCTCATTCATTCACTAAATATTTATCTGTTGAACTTTCTTCAGATGGCAATCTGTTCAGCCAGCTGAGGGCATTAGGAATGAATGGGTGTGTTTCCATCTCTGCATGGTAGTGGGGATGGCGAGGTACGAGGGCAGCACCCCGCCCCTGCTCTGCGGGCAGACAGTTTTGCCCGCGGGCTTTTATATGGTCCCTAGACGCGCCGGCTTGGTTTCTCTTTGTGCTTCTGTTTCTCTGTCTGTAAAGTGGCACAGCTCCCCATAGACCTGTTAGGAATGGGCATGAGAACCCTGGAATGCACTTAGGATGTTGCCTGGCAGCTAAGGGCTCAATAAATATGTAGTTATTATTTTTCTTTGACAGTATCACTTAAGACGTACTCTAAGACAACAGAAACAGACTTTGAGTTTTCAGAACAAGCTTTTTTTTTTTGTCTTTTTGAGACAAGGTCTTGCTATGCAGTTCAGGCTGGCCTTGAGATCACTTTGTAGCCCAGGCTGGCCCGGAACTTGCAACATCCGCCTGCCTCAGCCTCCCGAGTGCTGGGATTATAGGTGTGTGCCACCACGCCCAACTGAACAAGCTTTTAAAAACCTACATTTAAGTAAGGCCAGGCATGTGTAATAAATGTAATCCCAGCACTAGGGAGGCCAAGGCAAGAGGATCACAAGTTTGAGACCAGCCTAGAGTACATAGGGAAACCCTGCCTCAAAAAAAAACCAAACAAAAACAAAGCACATAAAATAACAGATTTAAATAAAACAACAGATTAGGTTATTTTAGTTCCCTCACCTTGTCCACAAGGAGTCCTGTTACAACTTCATGCAGCACTGTGGCTGTGTTAACTTCCAGGGTACAGTGATGACTGCATCCTGGTCTCTGCCAGAGTTTTAGTACTGGGTGGGAACCCAGGGTCTTGGCCTGCTGGGCAGCTGCAATCTTTCACCCCCATGCCTGGGGGATGGCCCCGGGTCCCTGTATTTGAAGTGTGCCTTATGGCAATTGTGTCTTCTATTTGACACATGGCAAGTGGTTCAACTAACTAAAGTTACTGACACAAGCAGTGTTTCTTCAACTGGTCTCCATGAGATTGTCTTTTATTTGGAATTCTCTGAGGTCAGTTTTTGGAACATCACATTTATTTTGTCTTTTGGGACAGGGTGTTGCCATGCAGTTCAGGCTGGCCTCGAGCTCACTTTAGCCCACGCTGATCTTGAACTCACAACTTGATCCTCCTGCCTCAGCCTCCTGAGTGCTGGGATTATAGGCGTGCGCTACCACGCCCGCCTCACGTTTTAGAGGACAGTCACATTTTTTTCTCCCTGTACTGTTCTGAAGTGGGGCTCAGGATCCAGGTTTCTGGGCTGGGAAGATAGCTCAGCGGCACAAGCGCCTGCCTAGCAAGAGCAAGGTCCTGAGTTTGATTCCTGGTACCAAAAAAAAAAAAAAGGATGGAGGTTTCTCAAAACAGAGGCAGCTGTGTGCAGACCCGGACACCCCCACAGCCTCGACAGAGCCATGTGGCTGGAAATGTTCTCAGCAAGTCTGGAGCCCATAGGAAGGCTTTGTAAATAGCCTTAATTATTTACTTCCACGAACAGGATAATAATCGCTTCCGAGAAGCCCAAAGACAAACAGCAGCAGTCCTGCAGGGAACAGGACTGGCCAGGGGCCCCCTTTCTCACAAGAAGAGCTCTGGTTAGTCTTAGAAAGAGGGTCCTCTGCAGAGCGGGGAAACCACACTCTGAGGCGGACAGGTTGCTCTCACAGGTCATCACCAAAGATTTGTTAATGACCGGCTTTGTTCTAACAAAGATTTTGACTTTGTTGTTTGGAGTAGTTGATAATTTGGAAAACGGTATAATGAGGAAGGTTGGACCTGTAATTGGACAGCCACAGAGGCACGCTAAGAGCGAGCATTTACTGAACCCCTGCTCTGAGTAAGGCACCGAGAGGGGTCTGGGGCTGGGTTGGGATGCAGCGACCGTGGGGCATGCATGCTGTCCCCAAGAGGTTGGAATCTCGCGCTTAGTGCCCGAGAGTCTCAGCCTTAGCTCTAGGCTCCCAGCTGAGCGCAGGCTCCTGTACACACCCGCCGCCCCCGTGGAGGAGAATATTTGAAAAATATTGAAGAAAAATCCACTTTTCTTTTTCCCTGAAGCATGGGGCAGGGGCAGTAGGTGGTGGTGGTGATCATCAACCCTGGGCTTCTCAAGTGGCTGTACTCCCAGCCCCAGGCCATTATTACCAAGAGCAACCTCTTGGCCTTGGCCGCAGGGCTTTAGTCCTGGAATGCGCCACTTCCCTGTGGGTAACATCTCCAGCTCCCACCTGGCCTCTCCACCTGCCTCTTCCCAGGCTGGTCCATCCGGTGCTACACCAGGGAGGGACAGGACTTGGCAATGACAAGGACATCATGATAGACCTGGGAGAAAAGCCCTCAGGTGGCCAGTCCTTGACAAATACTTCCTGAGTGCGCACTGCTGGGCGGGGGCGGGGTGGGGGTGGGGTTGGATACTAGTACAGTGCAGGTGGGGACGAGAGGGAGGAGGGTATCAAATCACAGGCTTTCTATTTTATTTTGATTTTTTGAGATAAGGCCTTGCCATGTAGTTTGTGTTTGGTTTTTTTTTTTTTTTTTTTTTTCGGTACTGGGAATCGAACTCACGACGTTATGCTTGCCAGGCAGGCACTGTGCCGCTGAGCTAAATCCCCAGCCCCATGCTATGTAGTTTGGATTGGTCTTGAATTCATTATGTAGCCCGGACTGGCCTTGAACTTGTAGCAATCTTGCCTCAGCCTCCTGAGTGCTGGGATTGTAATAAGCATGTGCCTGCACCCCATCTATTTTTGTGACTGCAGCAGGTTGGGCCACACCCACTCAGGCTCGTTGACAAGGTCTGTGGCTGCTTTGACGGTACACGGGAGCTGAGGAGCTGCACCAGAGATGTCAGGCCTGCAAAGGCTGAAGTACTCACCACAGGCCCTTGCTAGACAAGGCTTGTGCTCCTGTGTCTGCACTGCAGCCTCCAGTGGGGCAGGCTCGGCCCCCAGGCTCGGCCCCCAGGTCTCTGGGGCTCCTGGGAGTGCCAGCTCTATCTCCTTCTGGGCTAGGAAATGTTTTGGGCTTCGGGCTGGGTTGAAACTCACTGAGAATAGATGAGCTCTGAGATAGACAAAAGCACTTTCTGAAGGGACAGATGGCTCCAGGTACAGGAGAGATTCGGTCTGATTGAATTTACTAACCCGTCTAAAGGAAAAATGTGCCCATCCTGAAGGACTGGCCGGCCTGGAGGCAGAGGGAGACAGATTCAGGCGAAGGCCTGGCCTAGGAAAGGGAGTGCTTAGCCCAGGGCCAGCCTGCTGCTCTGCACCTTCGGTGGATCTGATGAGTACCTTTCTGATGATGACCTGGTTCCCCTGCGGATCTTCTGCCACTCGGATCCTGTCAATTTGACCTGTATTTTTACTCCCCTTCGCCTGTGCTGCCCTGCATCCCTGGGCTTACCCGTCGGGTGCTCAGTTTGGGCAGTGGGAGTCTGCCCCTGAGAGATGACACTGATGAAGTCAGGCTTGTGGCGCGAGGGCAGAGAGCGCGTTCTGGGCTGAGCTGCTGACACTACAGCGATGAGAACCCATGGAACCAATCCACAGTGGTGAGGTAGCTTTCTAGGCTTTTCCCAGCTGTACCCCCAAATCTTGACTCTGTCACCCTGTCTGTCACTCTTAACTGTGACTCTGCCACCTCCTGTTGTGTGTTTTTGAGACAGCGTCTCACTAAGTTGCCTGGGCTGGCCGCAGTCCTCCTGCCTCAGCCTTCTAAGTGCTGGGTCACAGGCATGCACCTCCACACTGGCTGCCTCTTGTTTCACTGAGAACTAGAAGCCTTCACATGGGCCTCACAAACCCACTCTCCTGTCCCTGCTGTGTTTCTGTGGATGATTCCAGTTACTTCTTGCCACCCATTTACTGGAAAAGGAGATGCCCCTACCCAGCTAAGCTTCCC